TTGGCAGATGGTAGCTACACTTGTGAGCACAGCATAAAGTATAGAGAAGTTGAATCACTATGTTGTACACCTGAAACTAATGTAACACTGTGTCAACTATACTCAACTAAAAAGTTTTTTAAGTAAATAAATAGGCAAGTCTTTGTGTTTAAAGAAGGGTAAATTTTATGCTTCAAGGAGACAGAGATTTTCTTATATCTCCATTCCCCACCCCAACATTTTCCTTATAATGCTTTCCATAAGCAGTAGAAAGGTGATAGCTTTATTTTAACAATTGTAAATAGTCTTATCCAATATTGATGATGAGTGACAGGGGATGAGAATTATCATTTAATTCACTTGTTGATCGGGTTCATTCAGACATTAGTCTATGTTAAAGGATATAATAAATATTTGATTTTCAACATTAAGCTTTGGATAACAACGCACCACACAAAATATCTGATTTCAGGTTTGAGGCAGAATTCAACCATGAGCTGATTATAATGCAATTTGCATTAGTTAGTCAATAAAGCAATTAAAAATATGAAAGAAAATTAATTTTATATGTGCTTTTACTTATGCCATTTCCAGTGCTCCTCATTCCACTGCGTAGATTCGAGTTTTTATCCTCCATGTTTTGCCTGAAGGACTTCTAACATTTTTGTTTTTATAAACGCTTGGTTCTATTTTTTAATCTGAAAAAGTCTATTTCTCCTTCATATTTGTAAAGCTCTTTATGCCAGAGTATTCTAGGTTGACATTTTTTTTTTCCTTTTGGAATTTTAAAGATGTCACTTGCTGATTTTCTGGTTTCAATAATTCCTGATGTAAATTCTTGAGAAGTCTGCTGTAATTTATGAACATATACTTATATATGTGATATGTTCTTTTCCTCTGACTCCCTTTAAGATTTTCTTTTTATCTTTGGTTTTCGGCACTTTGATTATGCTTGTCCAGGTGTTTTATTTGTTTTGTTTAGTATTTATTCTGCTTGGTTTTCTATGATTTTTTTGATCTGTGGTTTCACGCCTTTTAATATTTTTGGAAAATTCTCAGTTGTTAACTTACAATAATGCCTCCTTTCCATGTTTTTGCTCTCTTCTTTTGTGATTTCTATTACACCAATATTAGACTAATATCACCCCAAGGTCTTTCAAGGTCTTTTTTCTTTTTTAACTCATTGTAATGTATCCTGGTTAATTTCTATCGAACTACTTTCATGTTTACTCGGTCTTCTTTCTTTGACTCTTTTAACTCTATTAATAAGCCCGTCAAAGGCATTTTTTCTTACCTCAGCTACTATGTTTCTTATAGCTAGTTCCCTTTGATTCTTTCTTATAGAGTTCATCATTCTGACAAAATTTAAAATCTGTTCTTATAATTTTTTCTCTCTGATATAATACATGTGTGTTTTCCACTTTTTTTTAAAGATTTTTTATTTATTTATTCGTAAGAGACAGAGAGAGAGAGAGAGAGAGAGGCAGAGGGAGAAGCAGGCTCCCCGCTGAGCAGGGAGCCCGATGCGGGACTCGATCCCAGGATCCTGGGATCATGACCTGAGCCGAAGGCAGACGCTTAACCATCTGAGCCACCCAGGCACCCTGTTTTCCACTTTTTTAACAAGAGTTTTTAAGTACATTAATCATAGTTAATTTAAATTTTCTGTTAGATAGTTCCAACATCTAGGTCCTATATGAACATAGTTCTATTAATTGCTTTCAATGTATCTTAACGGTATATAGTTTTTCTTGATTTATTGCTCTGTAATTTTTGTTGAATACTGGCCATTGTGTCTAAGACAGTACAAATTGAGATAAATATTGTTGATGTCTGAAAATGGACACATCTCTTTTTATGCTAGATTCTTAGTGTAGCAGTTTGAGTTAATGTAGTGACAGGTTGACGTGATTTGGGGTTTTGTTGTCCTAATGATTCCACCACCATTCCACCTTTTGTTTTAGATTTTCTGTAGATTTACTCAACAGAGGTCTCTCTCCATGTTCTTGCCCCTCTCTCAACAGTACACTGATTCTGCTTATCACCCATCCTTTGGTAGCCTAGCAATGAGGTGTGAGAGGGTTCTCTCTTGTCCAGCTTTAGGGTCAGTTTTCAGCAAACTCTCTGCTTATGGATGTTGGGGCTTTCTCAGGGACCTTATCATTCCATCAGTTCCAGAGAACCTCTAATGTTCTGACTTTGCCTTGGTACCAAAGGCCTTTTTTTCCCCTTTCTTTCTCTAAGCTGCAATGGATTTCCACATGTTCCTGAAAGATACAGGGTTTTCTGACCCTCCCCCAGTGGTCTAAGGCTTTTGTTCAACAGTGGAGCTAGACAAAAATGATCTAGGTGGGGCTTTGTGTCTTTTCCATAGTGATGCCACTTTCTTCACCAACACCTGATCAAGCAAGAGGCAATCTCTAGTCTCTCCCACCTGACCCAAATCTTTCTCACAAGCCCTCAGAGATGGGAGCAGACAAAAGCCTGAGATTAAGTACAATCTTCCTTTATATCTGAAGCTCCAAGGATTCTATACTGTTGTACTAGCCAACACTTAACAGTTAGAAATTTATTAAAGTATTTAACAATGTTTTAACCAGTGCTCATATCTTGTCTCTCTGTAGAGACCTGTATTTCCTTAGATTTGAGACTCCTTGATTTTCCCGTACCTTGGTATTTTGATGGGTTCGAGAAAATTTATGAATTGATAAATTATCCAACTTATCACTGTTGGGATGGAGCAATGCTCTTTTAAGCTTTCTACATCCTAAGACAAAACCGAAGCCCTTCTTAATTGATTTTGAAGATATGACTTCTAGGATTAAATATAGTATATGTGTTACACTGACAATTTATTAAATATAACTCATAAATTTAAAGTTTAAAATTGTTTTGAAGCATTATTCGTCAACATAAATTTTCCTTATCTTTAACCCTCTGAGAGTTGTTAATTAAAAAAAGGGATACATTAATGATGGAGAAAATATTGGATTATTGAGCAAATAATTGGCCCCATTTCATATGTGGGATTCACTGTATCATTAACTTCTATGAGTGATGAGATCATTGTTTGTTCTTTTTAATGGCAAAATTTGATTTGAGATTGATGGAACACATAAGTGCCTTTTCAAAGTCTTAAATTTTTTGAGATTATAATATTAAATGGTGTGTTTAATACATGCTAATGATTTGAAATAATTATCTAATGGCAATAAACCTGATTTAATTCAATTTTTAGCCATTAATCTAATAAAATGTTTTAAATTCATGAATTGTCATAATACATTGCATGTTAGTTCTTTAGTCAGATACTGAAGTAATTTCAAGTATTTTGGGGCTGAACCACAAATAATTCAAATAACTGTGTTTACAAAATATAGACGTTATTATTTAAAATATAATTTAATTTTCACCATTTAAAAATGTCAGCTTTGCACAAACTGCTTCATAATTTTATCCTAATTTAAATCTAAACTGTGTTGGAAAACTAGGAAATAAGACTTTGAAGAAATTATTCTCCCTTTAAAAAGTTTACAAGCTAATAGAAACTGAATAGAAATAGTTAGATTTGAATTAAGAAATGTAAACATCTTTACACTTTAATTTGACAGTTTTTTTCAACATATATTCATATAATGTCTCCTATGGACAGGCAAAGTGTTGGGTGCAAGTAGAGACAAATGTCAAGAAGAGTGACATAGTCTTAAGAGATAAAGAAGTACAAACATGAATTGGCAAAAATTATAAAATGATTGGACAAACCACCAGAAACGAAGCCAAAAGCCAAACAGACATAAATGAAAGAAAAAAGGTCATTTTGTTCATATTTAAAAGCTCCTACAAATCAACAAGAAAATCTAACAGCCCAATTAAAATTGGGCAAAGTGACATGAATAGGACACACAAAAAGAAAAAAAAATCATTTTTAAACCTGCAAAAACATATATAACCTCACTTTTAGTAAAAGAAATGGAAAACTAAGCTATAAATTGTTATTTTTCACTAATCGCAGTGGTAGGATTAAAAAATTTGTTACATGCTCAATTAACAAGGAGGAAGAGAAACAAGTTCTTTCATACATTATTGGTGGGAGAGTACATTGATATAAAGTCTTTGGACATCATTTTGTCAATATCAATCAAAGAATAAAATATATGTAACCACTTCCAACAGTTTATTATACTATTCAAGTGTCCAAAGTTGTTTGAATATGAATATACACTGAAGCATGCTTACTAATAATAACCAAGATATGTGGAAATATATCAAATATCCCTTAATAAGAAACATTTGGTGTATTATGCATGTGCAAAATATAATAAGAATACATTGTATAATGTACCAAATATGTCATTGTACATTCATATAAGAGAATACTATGCTACCTTTAAAGCAAATATTGTTTTTATAGAAACTATCATGGAATTATCTCTAAGATATATTGTTAAGTGGAATATGTAATTGTAAAACATTGTAGAGAAAATGCTGCAACCTTTATAACAATATAAATGTGTGTCAGTGTGCTTTTACATGTTTAAGTTAATTTATGTTTGTATTTGCATGAAATATTTTTAAGGATACAGGAGAAAATGAAATGAAATTTAATTTCAAAAATGAAATTTTTGTCTCCAGAAGGAAGATGGGGACTTAAGGAAATACTGAGAAAAAATTTATTTTACCTCAATTTTTCCTTTTCAAATATATGTTATACATAAAATTATAACTAAAGGTATTTCAGTAATATAGGTAGAAGATCAAAACACCTTAGTTTTGGTAGTAAACTCAAGGTGCAATTAAGAAGTAAAATCAATTGGTGTCATTTGAGATGAATAGTTAGAAAAATATATATAAGATGATACATGTTTTTGGTTTAGTATTTGCCTGACTTAGTGATCAAATTCTATCAAATTCTCTCATGTTTGCAAATATTTATTTTACTTTTATCCATTACAAATTTCTAAAGTTTCACTGCAATAAATGATTTTATTTTTATTTTTTTATTTTTATTTGCACTTAGGGAAATTCATCTTATTTACAATAACCAAATATAAATGAGAACTATATGTGCCTATCTGACAGCAAACAACATCATCCATTGGTCCACAGGGAAGCAGCAGGATCAGGAACTCCTCTGCAGGTATGTTGGTGGTAGATCTCAGGTACATTAGTCGATCTCAGTCTGGGCTGTGCGTGAGCGTCGTGCTCCCCAAAGCAGATTCCTGGCCGTATATCCATTTATATCTATTAGAATTTCTCTTGTTCATGAATTAATTACTTCTTAAAATATTCCTCCTTATAAAAGTATTAGAATATATTTATATTGTTAACATATTACAATCAGCAAAATACTATTTCCTTTAAATGTAAAATTTTTGTTAAAATCAAATTCATATTTTATACTTCAGCATCTGTTGTAAATTATGACCTATATCCATCCTGCCATATATCCTGCACGCAAAGTGACAGAATCAATGATAGATGTTTCTGTCTGAACCCATTTCTTCCAACTTGGCAAAGATTTTTTTTTTTTAGTTCCAACATTAACTATTTTTAATTCATTAGTTTGGCACACCATGATAATAAGTAATATGGAACATATTCTATACCTTAAGAACTAGCCATAAAAATACAGACATAGAGTACATTTCTAAAACAGTCCCTACGATGGCTCTAAGCCAAATGTGACTCACCTGCACAAGGATTACCCACAGAAAGCTGGGCTTTCAACTTCTTTTTTTTTTTTTTTAAAGATTTTATTTATTTATTTGAGAGAGAGAGAATGAGAGATAGAGCATGAGAGGGAGAAGCAGACTCCCCGCCGAGCAGGGAGCCCGATGCGGGACTCGATGCGGGACTCGATCCCGGGACTCCAGGATCATGACCTGAGCCGAAGGCAGTTGCTTAACCAACTGAGCCACCCAGGCGCCCTGGGCTTTCAACTTCTTTTCACCCTCCTTTCAGTATCTTATTTTACCATCCAATAAGATATAAATAAAAGTGTACATATATTTTTTTTCATTCAGCTAACATTTTTCTGAAAAAAAAGTGTTTACTAATACAATTTTTAATTTAGTTTCTAAAGTTTGAAAAAAAGTTTGTTCTTTAAGGAAATCCAGGAGTAAATCTTTCAAAGTTTTAAATTATAATGCCTGGGTTTTTTTTCTTTCTAAATTTTTAAGTTGTTATATAATGGGTTCTTTTTGAACGTAGTATGACAAAGTAACATGATGTGAATTTTTCATCTCATTTATGTTGACTGATGTTGCAAATCTGCAGCATTTTATTATATATATTATATATTATATACTCTGGCAGTTCTTTAATAATTAAACATAGAATTACCATATGACTCAGCAATTCCACTCCTAGATATATACCCAAGAGAGATGAAAACACATATCCATACCAAAAAATCCTGTACACCAATGTTTATAGTAGCATCTTTTACAAAAACTAAAAGGTGGAAAACAATCACTATCAACTGAAAAGGAAAAAAACAAAAGATAGTTTATCCACACAATGGGATATCATTTGGCCATAAAAAAGGAACAAAATACTAATATACGATAAAACATGGAGCAACCTTGAAAACATGTTGTTAACTGAAAGAAGTCAGTAACAAAAGATGAAATATCATGATTCCATTCCTATGAAAGCCCAGAGTAGCAAAATCTATAGTGGTTCCCTAGGGCTGGGGGATGAGAGAATAATAGGTAAAGGGTACAGGGTTTCTTTTGAGTCCGTGAAAATGTTCTGAAATTGACTGATAGTGGTGGTAATGATTATACATATATAATATACTAAAAGCCATTGACTTGTATACTTTAAATGAGTGAATTGCATGGCATGGAAATTAGATCTCAGTAAAGCTATTTTTTAAATTAAAAAAAAAAAGAAAAGAAAAAAGGAATCTGACACTAGACAGGTCAAGACTGGTATAGCTATTCAAGGTTGTCATTAGGATCCGAATCTTCCGACCATCCACCCCTTACATGTAGTTTTGATCATTAAGATCTTGATATGACTCCTTCACCTCCATCTCATGACCACATTTCAGTACAAAAAAGAAGGAAATAATGTACAGCACCTATAACAGGAAAGCAAAACCTTACTAAGAAACCTTCATTGTTTTGCCTTTGGGGCAAGAAATAAGGCCATCTTCGGCAGCAAGAGAGGTGGAGAATTTAGTATCTTTAGGGGGACACTTTCCCACATCAAATAAAATCTGCAGAAATGTATGTTAGGGAGGCAATTTGCAGACTATGTCACAAACTCATATGAATAAGAGATATTTGAATTTACAAGTCTTTCACTTTTTAGAGAAGATTTTTTTTAAAAAAATCAAGATTAATAAAGATTAAGTTATCTTTTTTAATAAAAGAGACTTTTAACAATAGAATAATAAGCAATGAATACTTCCTTCTTAATCATGAATATTAGCCTACTATGATCCATTTTCACAGGGAATTTTTTTTTAATTAGCAAAAATCACATAGGAGCAAAAAGCTGACATTTGTTTCTATATAATTATTTTTTTATAAATTCACAAAATTAACGGATTTATTAGCTTAGTAATCATTGACTACAGATATTCTATTGGGGGCACCTGGGTGGCTCAGTCGGTTGAGCATCTGCCTTCAACTCAGGTCCTGATCCTGGGGTCCTGGTATCAAGCCCCACATCGAGCTCCTTGCTCAGCAGGGAGCCTGCTTCTCCCTCTCCCTCTGCCACTCCCCCTGCTTGTGCTATCTCTCTCTTTCTCTCTGTCAAATAAATAAATAAAATCTTTGTTTTAAGAAAAGATATTCTATTGTTCCATGCCCTTTCAATCTGCTGGGCATAGACAGCTTTCTAATTCTCTATTATATAGGAAATTTTAACTACTAAGATGGGATTTAGGGATGTTTCTCATAGAAGTTATATTTGGAATGATTCTGAAAGAAAAATTATTTCTAATCAGAGAAGAGGGGAGGGCAGTGACTACCAGAAGAACAGTTGGTACAAACAGCCAGGGGGATTTTATAAAGTTGGTATTGCAGAGGATAGTGAAAAAAATCTACGAAGAGTGAGCAGGGTACACAGGGAGAGCATGAGATGAGATGCAGTTACTGAAGTATATTTGAGGTGCTAATTAGCATGATCTTACTCGGTAGACCATGTGAGCCATGGGGACAGTTTAAGAAGAGTTAGTAGAGGCTATGTGCATTTTATAAATTATAAATAATTTCACAAATGTACCAATGAGTATTGCATGGCTTGCAGTGCTATAATACTGGAAAAGTGACTCTTCTTTATAAAGTTTAAAGAAATCTAGTCTCTCTTTGGCCTAAAGATTATAATTACTTCACCTCCAAAAGATTTAATATATAATAGTGTATACCCAACATAAAGATACAGTGGTTATAAAATATGTTTTAAAATATTTTTTCAAAAAGGAGGCATATGTAAATATTAAATTTTTCTCTGAAATGTACAAACTGTGGTGAACACAGATTCTAATAAAATGATTATTCTCTCTTAATCATATTTATTTTAGTTTGTTTTCAGTATTTACTCTTATTACTAAGATTTTATTTATTCTATTTCATAGAATATTGTAATCAATCGGCAATTTTACCTGTTATTTTTAGTCATGTTTTTATTAAGAAGCATTGTAACTGAAATAACTCCTGTTTTACTGTAGGATACAATACATTTTTCATATATTTCAAAATATTTTGTTTTATAATTTTAATATTTTATATACCCAATAGGTTTGTTTGTCCATTGTTTTGTTTTATTTTGGAAAGTTTGAGGGATCCCCCTTGAGATTTACTTGAGTTAGAAATTTGGAATATTTCTAGAACATTTCAGGTACAAAAGTAATATAAAACCTTGCATAAAATATTTCTAACAGTAAAGCCTAGATTTTTTTTCTGAACTATGAGGAATTCTAGAAATGGCACAGCATAGAATAAAATTTGACATTTATTTATTTTAAAAAGAGAAAAGAAATATCATTATTTTATATAGACTGTCATATGTTAGTGCTAGAATCAGGATTCCTGGTTTTAATCATGTATCTGCCACCAGCTCCTACTGTGGATCCTACTGGCCTAAATCCACCATTCTCTAGAGTAGGGAAGAGAAACTTTTTCTCTTTTCCCGGGCAGTGTATCATGTTTGGGGGATACCTGGAGTTGCTGTAGCCATTTTGCCACCATGATGGAGAATATCATATGGCCGAAGTTGACAAGGGAAGACGGAGATGAGGGTGTCACTGAAAAATGGAGTTGGAGCTTTGGTCAAATCATTCCTAAAGCCCTTCTACTTCTAAAACTTCAAGTTTCACATAAGCTCGTACACCCTTTCATTGTTTAAAAAAAGTGTTTTTTTAAATTTTTTATTTAAATTCAATTTAGTTAACATATACTGTATTATTAGTTTCAGGGATAGAATTTAGTGACTCATCAGTTGCATATAACATCATGTGCTCATCACATCATGTGCCCTCCTTAATGCCCATCACCTAATTACCCCATCCCCCCACCCACATCCCCTCCAGCAACCCTCAGTTTGTTTCCTAAAGCTAAGTATCTCTTATGGTTTGCCTCCCTCTCTGTTTTCAACTTACTTGATTTTTCCTTCCCTTCCCGTGTGGTCACCTTTTTTGTTTCTTAATTTCCACATATGAGTGAAATCATGTGGCATTTGTCTTTCTCTGACTGACTCACTTCACTTAGCATAATACCCTCCAGCTCCACCCACGTCATTGCAAATGCAAGATTTCATTCTTTTTGATGGTTAATATTCCATGGTGTGTGTATATATATATATATATATATACACACACACACACACACACACACACATATATACACATATATACCACATCTTCTTTATCCATTCATCTGTTGATAGACATCTGGGCTCTTTCCATAGTTTGGCTGTTGTGGACATTGCTGCTATAAACATTGGGGTGCAGGAGCCCCTTCGGATCACTACGTTTGTATCTTTGGGGTAAATCCCTAGTAGTGCAATTGCTGGGTCACAGGGTAGTTCTATTTTTAACTTTTTGAGGAACCTCCATACAGCTTTCCATATGGCTGCACCAGCTTGCATTCCCACCAACAGTGTAAGTGGGTTCCCCTTTCTCCA